AAAGAGAAAAGTGACATTACTGGAATGAGGCTTTTGGTATTGTCAAATAACATAGATGTTTAAGTCGATGTGAAAATAGTTAGATTGAGAAAGTAATACAAAATAAAAAAAGAAAAAACCATGCAAAAGAAGAAAGGTAGAACAAAGTGTAGAAGAGTGTGAAGAAAAAAACATGGGAATGTGAGAAAAAATGAAGGAAGAAAAGAGAGTGCAGACAAAATGAGACGAAGGTGAGCATAGAAAATAATACGAAAGTGAGATGAAGTGGTAAGAAAAAAAAATAATGAAGGAGAAGAAAAACGTGCAAAAAATATAAGACTTTTTTAAGCTTTTTTTTTGGTTGTGAGATATGTATTATTTCTTGTAAAGGAAGAATTCTGAAAAATATTTTGTTTTTATATTTTTCCTTTTAAAAATTTGTGAAGGTGAGACATAGCAAAACTTATCTCTTGTAATTCCTGTATTTATATATTTTATAGATTCGTGAGAATTATGATTTTTATTTTATGAAATATTTTATTTTCTTTTCTTCTTTTAATAAAGAATAAAAAGGATTAAATTTCACATTTGAGTAAAAATAAGAGAGGGTATGTTTAAACATAGAAATTAAATAAAAAAATTTGTAATTATAAGATGAAATGAGAATTGAAAGCTAATTTTCATTATTTTAATAGACTTTCAGCCTTCTATTCTTGTTTCATCTTTCCATATTTTTGTTTTTGGGCTTTAAATCATTCTTGGATATGGGCTGCATTGATACTCTCTTTCTGGGCTTTATGTGCAAACCACGTCCAAGAGTTTGGCAGAGTCTTCAGTTATCAATTTGTCCAAAATTAGTGTTAACCCCTCAAGTTAAACGGCCTCTCCTTACTTAGTTTAGAGATAAAAAGGAATTGTTTTCTAAATATATAAATGTAGAGATTACAAATGTAGAAAAAAATTATAACTACAAAATCTAAATGAATAATTAAATAAAAAAGCATAAATTTTTTTAAACAGTTAATTACAAAAAATAATTAACTTAATAAAAAAGTTCCTAATTATTATTCAATTGGAAAAAAATTTATTTCTATAAATTGTTTCAATTTAATAAAATAAAAATATTAAGTATTCATAATATATATATATATATATATATATATTTCACTGTAATATTTATATATTTTTATTATTTTATAATAATGTTCATATTCATTACCCAATATTATCTTTAATAAATTAAAATAATTATTTAAAATTAGAGTATGTCAGGGGATATTCTTGAACAACAATAAATTTAGGAGTTTTTTTTTGTTCTTTTCAAAAATAGTGTGTTTTAAAGAGTGTTTCTTAACTTGTTATATCTTTCCATCTATACCTTCATATTTATTTCTAAATTAAACTTCAACAATTTAAAAAAATACCAAATAATTGTTTATAAACTTTAAAAATATCTATTTATTAAAAAAATTGATATATATATATATATATATAACATTTATTTTATGCATTGTACAAACATTATTTTTTAAATCCAAAAATACCCTTATAATTAATAAAAAAATAATATTAATTTCAACACTATACCTTTAAAACACAATCTCTAACAATATGGTGGAAAGGACATGACAAGATCTAGAGGTATGGTAAAAATAAAAAAACAAAGAATGTTGGTAAGCAACCAAATCAAATCAAAAGCATCATGTGAAGAGAGAGAGAGAGAGAGAGAGTAGTGTTGCACAGCTAGACAGAGAAAGAGTTGAAAGTGGGAGAGAAGAGGTGCCAGACAGCAGAAAGATAGATAGATGGATAGAGGATCCATTGCAGCAGTTAGGAGTTGTGAATGTTCCAAAAAGCAGAGTCAAGTTCCAGGTTGAGGTTGTTGCAGTCAGTGCCCTTTTGTTTATCATCACATCAACATGTGCTGGCTCTCACCACTCTCTAATTTTCTTTTCCCTTATTCCTCAACATAACACACACATTCTCCCTTCATGCTTGCATTACCAAAATAGACCAACCCAAACCAAATTTAAAATAGAACAAACTATTTTTATGTTTGGTGTACACTAATTACGCCAATGCTTTTTTCTTTTCTTTTTTTAAGTAATATATCTGACATGTCTAGAAAATTATATAAAATATGATTTTTTTTTATATAATAGTTGTTAAAAATATTTTAATTATTTAACTTTTATGTAATACAAATTATTTCGTTAAATTTTTAATGTATGTGGTTAAAGAAATAATTAGTTTTTAGGTAATGCAAATCGTATATATTGATTTGTATAATTTTAATTGTAGAAAAGTTTAATTTCGTGTGAGATCATGACTAATCACAAATTCAATATAAGAAATTCTCATAATTTTTTGTAATTTTTTTTATAAAAATAATAAGAAATAAGTTTTCTACAAATTTAAATAAATTTTTATAAAAAAATTTGTAGAAAATAATTAATATTTTAATAGTGATTCTCAAAATTTATTCTTGATATTTTTAATAAATACATGCATAAATTGTTTTTCATATATTAATGGATAACACTTAAATCTATGCATGAACATACGTATCTTAATGAACGATATAATATGAAACTAACTGTTTCACTAACGATAATTTTTATCTAACAAGATTAATTATTCTCAAAGAGTAAACTGTTGTTTTAAAAGATTTTTGTATTTATTTATAAACTATTCTCTTGTATATAATTAAAAATATAAATATATTTAGATATTTAGATATCTTTCGATATATATTTGGGACGAAAATAAAATTAATGAAATAAGCTTTTTTGATAAATTAAAATAAATCTATATTTAAAATAAAAGATAAATTTTGAAGATGAATAAATCATTTGATCATTAAATTATTTTTCTTAATTATATTTTATAATTATATTTTATTTGTACGAGCTTTAATAAAAATACAATTTTAAAGTTAAATATGTAAAGAATTTGAGACAATTAGGTAGAAAAATATTTAAGGAAGATTTTCACTAGACGAAAAATATTCAATGTGAAAGTGAATTTTCAAGATTTAAAAGAGGAGAAAAAAATATTCAAAACATAAATTAAATGGAATTTTATGAGAGATTCTAAAAGTATATTACCCTAATTTTAACCTAAAAAGGACTATCCTCTTACTTTCTCTTTTGTGATCTTTCTCATCTAGAAGGTTAATAGTTGAGCTTTTTTTCTCTGGTAGGTTGTCATGCTTAAATCTAAGACTTTGTTCCTCCAAAATTAGTGATAGACTTCAAAAAGATGTGTCCTTTAATAATTTTACACAAACAAAATTTAAATGAGTTTGAAAAATTAAAGAGAAAAAATATAAAAAGGCTTTTTTCCTCCAAAAAAAAGGTGATGGAGTTCAAAATAGATGTGTCCTTTAATAATCCTACACAAATAAGATTTAAATATGAGTAAAAAAAATGAAAAAGAAGGAAAAATAGAAAATAAAGTAATAATCCTTCCTAAAGATAATCGCTCCTCCTGATGAGAATTTAGAAACTCATTAAACTTCATCCTAAATAAGTTTTACAGAAATTAACTTATTTATTAGTGAAAATTAGGTTTTTGGGTGGTTAGTTAGTTCATGTGTATAAATTCCTGTTTTCTAATTTTTTATTTAATAATTATGCATAAACTAATTTTAAACTATAAAAAAAATATTTCATTTTTTTTTCATATTTTTCTCCTAATTAGGAAGAAACTTGTCAAAATAATAAATCCTAAATTTCTAAAGTATTGAAAATAACAAAAAAAAAAAAATCTTTTAAAACTTTGGTACATTCATCTCCTTAATGCTTTGAGATACTCATGTCATTAATCACTCCAATTAATTAAATATTTTCAAAGTCAATTAATCGTGTTAGCGTTTCAAATTTTCAATCATTTCATCTTAAAATTTAAGGAGTTAGCTATTTTGAAGAAATATCTTAGAGAAAAAAAAAAGGTTAAGGTGTTAGTATCAACAAATTGATACACACAAGAAGGATCAAACTGATACACACAAGACAATACAAATGAGTTAGTCTATTCATCTTTTAGCCTCACAATGTAAAATTTTATTAACTTCAAATACATGTAATTAATACGATAGACTAACACGATAAATATTAAAAACTATTTATTAATACTTGGCTAAGTATTATTTGTCAGATCAATTTTATTTAGTTAATCCTTAAATATTAATTAATAATCTCTATAAATAATTTTTATTTTTCGTATTGAAATATATGTCTACATATCATTGTTAATATAATTTAATATTTATATATAGACTAAATTATATTTTATCATTTGGATCAAATTAAATTTTAATAATAATAATATATAGATATTTACGTGAAAGTTACCTAAAAATTTATTTAAATTTTGAGATTAAATTAAGATTTTCGTACACTTATATACTTTAAAGAATGAAGTAAGTACCTTAAGTTTTAAAAGTTAAACGACAAAGTGAGAGAGAGTTATATTTTGGTACAAATTGATGCTTTATTTTTTAAGAAAATAATAATAATAATAATAATAATAATAATAATAATAATAATAATAATAATAATAATAATAAACTTGTTCTTAAACTAGTCTTAATATATAGGAAAGATTATCTTTTTTCTTATCTCTTTTTTATAAATATTTATGAAAAAAAAAGTATGCAAATAACTTATTAATCAATCATTTGTATTAGACCTTGTTCATCATTCTCGTCTTAACTCTTCGGTTTTCAAGAGGGAATAATGATTGCATACCCGAAGACATTGGAAGAACAAATATTAAAGGAGAAATCGAATATATGTGGATGTTCTCCATTCCGTCGCAGCAATCAAAAGGACAAAAAAAGAAACTTTTTCACTTAAATTGTATATATTCTGGTTTCAGAAGTTACGGGGTGAAGAAGATTTGTTTAAATTAAGTTTCCCTCTGGATAATAAAAACACAGAGCGGTGTGGTGAATTCATTCCCTAACTAACTAGCTACTATATGTATGGACAGAGAAAGAGAGGAAAAGGGGTGAGTCCTCAACAAGAGTGGAAGTGCAAAGCGTGGGGAAGGCGAGGGTTGGCGTGGTTGTGGTGGTGTTGGTGGGGAGTGGACTCTTTCTCGATTCGCCAACGGAGATGGAGGAAGTCGTCGACGGAGCAGGGGAGCTTGAGGGGGCCATCGGTGTGGTAGCCGTAGACCTCGCGAGCCTTGTCGAGAAGACGCTTGAAGAGAGGGTGGTAGAGATAGGAGATTGGAATGACAAATCTCTGAGAAGAGGAACCGCCTTGGTCTTCGTCTTCTAAACCCACTTGAACCGCCAGAAAGCCTTTCTTCACCTTCATCTTCTTGTCTTCCTGCATGCTTGGATGATGATGGGTTTGTTGGTGGAGCGAGAGAGATAGAGAGATAGAGAGAGAGTGTGTGCGAGAGCAAGTGGTGAAAGCAGAGGGGGGGAGGAATAATATATAGCGATTGAGGGGAATGGGTATAAAGAATGGTGAGGGTGATAAAAATTGTGGGGTAAATGGTATTATGTGGTATGTACGAAATACGGAAGGAGGGACGAGGGTGGTGGGTGGGGAGGTGGGGAGTGGAGAGTTACGTGTTATGGGGCTTTCAGAGTGGTGGGTAGGGAGGTGAATGAGAGGAAAAGTAAAGTAATAAATAAAGAGAGGTCTTGGGGTGAGATGGGGACACAAGTTTAATTGAATGAATGAATGATGAATGGGAAGTGGGGTTTGTGACCTAGTGTCAGTGTGAGACTCGTTTTGTTCTGTTCCATTGTCGCCCCCACCACGCGCTTTTCAAAAATAATTAATTATATTTACATATTTTTAACCCACAACTTATTTACATCCATTTCACCTAACTTACGCTCCATACAACTTCAATTATAGGAAACTCGGGTTAACTTGCATAACTAATTTATTTTCAAGTTCATTAAATATATTATTATTTATTCATTTTAACTTATTATTATTTTTTATTTTATTTTATTTCAAATCAATTATGATTAAGAAGGATTATGTAGTTATATGTAAGTCTCATGCTTAATTATTCCAAATAGATAAATTATAAAATTGAAAAGTTAATTTATTAAACAATAAAAGAAAAAAAAAGAGATATAAAAAAATGAATTTAAAGATTTTCTTTTTCTTTTAGAAATTATTATTATATAATGAATTATTTTTTAAATTATTATGTAGTTATTAATCAATTTTAAAACAAAGAATATTTTCAGTATCTAAAGTCGTGTTAACATAAATGGTACGCGACAAATAGAAGTAGATATATGTCAAATGGTAACGTCACATTACAACTCTCGTCACTTTCACTAACATTATTTGATTTTAGGAATTAAAAATGTATTTTTTTTTTTTGCTTTTGAGAGACTACTTTTGTTCTATACAAATTTTCACAACAAAAACGTAATTAACCATACATAAAATTATAGACCAGTAAAATATCAAAGGTAAATGAATGTGATTTACATTTTGTTTAGTTTAACTCTTATATTTCATCATTTTATTTTTAAAATATATTTGATAAATTAAACAATTTTATCCTTATAAAACATATTGATGAATTAAAATAGAAGAATATATATAAATTATTTATACGATATGAGACTTTTAATATAAGTTTAAAAGAGATATATACAAGTAAAACAAAATTCTATTTTCAATCTCATAAATATTTTTGAGGAATAATGACGTTTTAAATAATATATATATAAATTATCAATAATTTTAAGCGAATGAAAGATAAATTAATTTTCATTTTTATTTCTTAATTAAGTTTTAGTTATATATATTTAATTAATTTTTCTTTTTCATTTTTTTATTCTAAAAATTTGATTGATTATATATATATATATATATATATATATATATATATATATATATATAATTTCTATAATTCTTTCCATTAGCCTACGTAAATAAATATTATGATACAGTATCATCATAGAATAATAACTTTTCATCTTTTGCACTTTTTAATTATTGTGATAGGCTTATTAATTTGATCAAAGTCTAGAGTGATTTGGTCGTGGTTAATTATTGGTTATGCTCATTGTCTCCAACTCTCACTTTCACTTTCTCTTGTTCAACAAATGAGCATGGCAACACTGTTTTTTTTTTTTTTCTTCTCATCCCATTTGATAGGTTTTTAAAGTCCTAGTTGTGGTACTCTGACGTGTTTAATGGGATTAAGACAAAAGATTAATGGTCATAGTGCACATAATCAATATAATTAAAAACATACATCGATGTTAATAAAGTGGACAACTAGGGTTTTGTAATAGGCTTTTATTTCCATTCCCTGGTTCCTCAGTGCTGTCTTGGAGGATTGATTTCATGCTTATATTGGATAAAGCAGGTTGAGCACATGATAAAAGTTGTCCCACTAACGTTAACCTCCAAAAAGATAAAAAGTTGTAGCACTAAACACCATAACACAAACTCTACAGTCACGGTCGTAGGAGTCAAACGTTGTCTTCTTCATCTGCATCTGTATACAGAGTACGGATTGTCCCGCAATTTCTCCTTCATATTTGAATCACCACCAATTTTTTCTGTTCTTTATTATTTTTTTGGTGTAGTTTATTTTACTAAAATAATTAGTAGAATAAATAATTTTGGAGTTTTAAACCACACAACAACAGTAATCAAGCGACAATAGCGTTACAAGGTTCCTTGTCTCTTGTACTACATCTCTAATTCATTCTCTCTTTTTTATGATTATGATTATTTGATATATTTTAACTTATTAACCATGTAACTAATTAATAATTGATAAATATATTCGAAGATCGAAAATATTGCGTAATTTTTTATTATAATGAGATCTTCAATAAAATTATAGGAGCAAGTTTAAAAAATAATATATATATATATATATATATATATATATATATATATATATTATGATGTAACATAATTCTTAATAAATTTACTATTAATTTTACTCTGTTGGAAAATATCTAAATGAAGTTGTTAAAAATACTTCAATTATTTTTAATTAAATTTTTTAATAATAAACCACTATTATATTTAAGTAACATACTTTTTTCTAATTAAAAATTATTTTAAGTAACTGATAAACATTTCAATAAACCACTCTTATTTAAATACTCTTATATTTTATAATAAAATATGTTCTATTACATTTTTAAATAGTAAGACCAATTTCTTATGGATTTGATAGACACATTTCACATATTTAAATAAAGTCGAGATATAATAAATATATATTTACAATATAAAACTATTTTCAATATCATTTATTAAAAATTCGGCAATGTGTCAATATTTTATTTTAAATTAAAAAACTAAGGAAAAAACCATTTTCGTTATTTTTTTTACAGTGTTTTCTTCAATGTAAAAAAAATAAAATAAAGTTTAAATAGCTCTTATTTCTAATAAGTTTATTAATTTTATATTTCATTTTCATAAAAATTTTTATATGATATTTTGATAACACTTTTTATTTGGTCCTTGTTTTTTTTATTTTATTATCTAATGTGACTGATAACTCTGATGATGTTAGTAGGAGTAAACAGTTTCATGTGTTGTTGTTTTTTTCACTTAAATAATTCTTTATTATTAATTCATTAATTTTACCTTCTTGTCCATTATTTTTTTTCTATCTTATTTCTTGTTGATATTTTTTATTAGGCCTTTGTCGCTATATTATATGAACTATAACATTCTTATCCAAAGAATCTAATTTAAAGAACGAAATTATATTTTTCTATCTTAATATTATGTTAAATACTCATTCATATTTTTTATATTTAATAAAATAATATTCCCATTTTTTAAATTTAAATAAACATTTACCTATAATAAATTACACTCACATCTTTTCTATTTTAATATAATGACATTCACCTTTCTTAGTTTTTTTTTAATATTATATTATTTAAAATTTGAATAAAATTTATGAAAAATATTTTTTTAAATATATAAGATAAATATTTTTTATAAAAAAATTATTGAATAATTTAATTTTTATATGTTAAAAGTATATAACACAATACCTATACATCATTAAATTAGAAATTGTTTAAAAAAAATTATATTTTTGAGAAATTATTTTAATATAAAAATAAATAAATATTTATTACATATATTTTTTTAATTTATTATTATGTATAAAAAATAAAACACTTTATTGATAACATAATAAGATGAATCTTTATAGGAATCACTTGTCACTTGTGAATACGGTTTTGAAAATAGGATCCGACGAGCTAGTTCACCTGGTTGAATTGGTTCCAAATAATTAAACTTTAATTAAACTGGGACAAAACAAACAGAGGTTTTTAGTTGAATCAATTTTGGTAAAAAAAATATATTTATGATCAATTTTTTTAATATAATTTTTTATAAAATATATAATATATTATAGTTTTTTTTTATATTTTATTTTAATAATTATTCATCTTTTACTTTCTAATATATTTTATATTTAATCTTTTTCAATGTAATTACGGTAATCATGACAATTATATTTATTATTATTTTTATATTATTAATAATAAATTTATTATATTATAAAAATATTATTTTATTATATATGGTTAGACGCAATTAAACCTTTAAACTCGTATTTTTACTAATTCGGTGACCAGTCCAATTTTTAAAATATTGTTTTTGAGTTTTTATTTACACTAATAAATAACGATTTTTTTTAATTTAGATAATATTTTAATTCGCGTAGAAATACGAGAATAGTGATTATTGTCTAACTCAACAATTAATACAAAGTAAACATTTATAAAGATATTTATAAATTTGTCTTAATTATAAATTTGCATTTTTAATTATTAATTTGTACATTACTTAATTATTTAAAGGAGATTTATTGAAATAAGAACAAAATTTTTTAGAAATAAATAACTAAAATTAAAGGAAGAAATTCTTGAAATAAGAAAATATAAATTACTGAAAAGAGTAAATTGCTGGATATATAAATTATTGAAAATTGTAAATTATCAAGGATAGAAAAGAAACTCGTAAGAAAATCAATCACAAATTGTTAATAATTCTATTCAAAAGTTTTTCTCGTACAGTTGTTAAGTAGTAAAAAGTTGATATAATTATGCCTTAAATTGTTATAAAACCACTTAACTTATGTTAATTCTAATATATTTTTCTCCCAATATAGGATGAATTTGAGAATACCTTGATACAAGAGTAAGGAACATAATTGTCAGCATAATTGGAGTAAAATTGAAAGAAAAAAGAGCGCTTAAGCGAATGAATGATGCAAGGCCCGACCCAAATTCTCTTATAAAAAGATAAGTTGTGTTTTGAGAAAAGCAAACAGTCTTGGAGAAGAGGAGACACAACTA